CCCCAAAACCCCAAAACCCCAAAACCCCAAAACCCCTATTTATAAAAATAAGATTGTCGCTGAATATAAAATGATATCATCAAGACTCTTGAGAGCTAAAAACAGAGTCCCAAAGAGACTCTTTGGAACTACCAATAAGGACGAAACCGATAGGAACAACAAGTACTTGGCAGCCACTTATGATGTGTGTGACTCAGTCATCTCAAAAGCAAATGGAATTTATGTAGAGGATGTTGAAGGACACAAAATGCTCGACTTCCATTCAGGATATAGCTGCACTAACCAGGGACACTTACATCCAAAGATCTTGCAGGCTCTATATGACCAGACTAAGAAGCTGACTATGGCTAGTAGGATTTTCAATACTGACATTTCTGGAGAGTTTGCTCAATTTATCAGCGAGACTTTCGGATATGAGAAAATGGTTCCAATGAACTCAGGTTCTGAAGCCTGTGAGTGTGCAGTTAAAATGGCCAGAAGATGGGGAGTAATGTCCAAGGGTATTGATAACGATAAAGTCACTGTTATTACTACTCATAATTGTTTCTGGGGAAGAACCATTGTCTCTATGAGTGGATGCAGTGATCCTAATAGATATTCAAACTTTGGACCTCTTGTCCCAGGATTCGACATGGTTCCTTTTAATGACCCAGATGCTTTGGAGGAAAAGCTGAAAGAAAATCCCAATATTTGTGCCTTCATGATTGAGCCAATCCAAGGAGCAGCTGGAGTCATTGTCCCAGACGACGACTACCTCCGAAGGGTGCAGGCTCTCTGCAGAAAATACAACGTGCTCTTCATTTGTGATGAAGTGCAGGCCGGACTTGGAAGGACCGGATACATGTTGGCACATCAGTTCGAAGAAGGTGTCAGACCAGACATCGTTACTTTGGCGAAGGCTACGACTGGAGGAGTATTGCCATTAAGTCTAGCTCTTGCTGATAGCCATATCATTGACTTGCTCGGTAAAGGCCAGCACGGAACCACCTACGGAGGTAACGCCCTCGGATGTGCTGTTGCTAAAGCCGCCATCGAAGTCATCATCGAAGAAGACTTGTGTGAGAGGTCCAGAGTCAACGGAGCCTTCTTCCACAATTTACTTGAGAGCCTCGACACCCCTGTGATAAAACTTGTCAGAGGAAGAGGCCTCTGGTACTCACTAGTGATTGATAGACCTGGCCAGGCCAAGGAGTTCTCCGAAGTTCTTGCTAAGAACGGACTTGCATGCAGAAACACTGACGGAGAGTCACTGAGGTTCGCTCCTCCATTGACCATCGAGAGAGAGCAGCTGGAGCAAGCTGCAGAGATCATCTTGAAGACCTGCAAGGAGTTCGAGTAGTTCGTATTTGAACTAAGTCATGAATAGATTCGTAATCACCCGCTTTTAGCGAGTTCAACATATTTATCTTGAAATGGGGTTTTGGGGTTTTGGGGTTTTGGGGTTTTGGGGTTTTGGGGTTTTGGGGTTTTGGGGTTTTGGGG